ATAAACCACTGATACACCATAAATGCGACGACGCACAAAACGATTGCACCGAAATAATATAAATTCGTGTGAAATTAAATCATAAAAGTAACAATAATCTGGCCAAACCCAGAAACCCACCAGCACACGTCAGACATCGCAGACATTGGCCAGACTTCAGACATTATGCGATATTCGATATTTGGCACTGACACAGAAATGAGGCGCAAACAGCGAGCAGCCGAAAAATTTCCATAGGATTTTCTATCGATTTTTATGGCAAATCGGAAAAGTTTACCAATGCCATGAACTTTTCTATTGTTTTCTCGGTCAAACGATTTTCTGTTGATTTTCAGGGCAAATTGTAAAAGTTTACCAGACCTAGAGGAAAAGAGATTAGAACTTCAGCCTTAGGACATTTCTTACATTTTTTGATTTTTCTACATCAGAAAAATTAAAAAAAATTAAAAAAAAATAAATGTGTAAATTTGAATGCAGTTTTTTAGAGAATTGCGCCAGAAACATTTAGAGGTATGCCACTTCAAAATCCGATTAAGATAAGTTGAGTTATGGAGTTTAGAACTTCAGCCTTAGGAGATTTCTTATACTTTTTGATTTTTCTACATCAGAAAAATTACAAAAAAAATAAAAAAAAATAATTTTCTAAATTTGAATGCAGTTTTTTAGAAAATTGCGCCAGAAACATTTAGAGGTATGCCATTTCAAAATCCGATTAAGATAAGTTGAGTTATGGAGTTTAGAACTTCAGCCTTAGGACATTTCTTATACTTTTTGATTTTTCTACATCAGAAAAATTACAAAAAAAATAAAAAAAAATAAATTTCTAAATTTGAATGCAGTTTTTTAGAAAATTGCGCCAGAATCATTTAGAGGTATGCCACTTCAAAATCCGATTAAGATAAGTTGAGTTATGGAGTTTAGAACTTCAGCCTTAGGAGATTTCTTATACTTTTTGATTTTTCTACATCAGAAAAATTACAAAAAAAATAAAAAAAATAATTTTCTAAATTTGAATGCAGTTTTTTAGAGAATTGCGCCAGAAACATTTAGAGGTATGCCACTTCAAAATCCGATTAAAATAAGGTGAGTTATGGAGTTTAGAACTTCAGCCTTAGGACATTTCTTATACTTTTTGATTTTTCTACATCAGAAAAATTACAAAAATTTAAAAAAAAAATAATTTTCTAAATTTGAATGCAGTTTTTTAGAGAATTGCGCCAGAAACATTTAGAGGTATGCCACTTCAAAATCCGATTAAGATAAGTTGAGTTATGGAGTTTAGAACTTCAGCCTTAGGAGATTTCTTATACTTTTTGATTTTTCTACATCAGAAAAATTACAAAAAAAATAAAAAAAAATAAATTTCTAAATTTGAATGCAGTTTTTTAGAAAATTGCGCCAGAATCATTTAGAGGTATGCCACTTCAAAATCCGATTAAGATAAGTTGAGTTATGGAGTTTAGAACTTCAGCCTTAGGACATTTCTTATACTTTTTGATTTTTCTACATAAGAAAAATTACAAAAATATGTAACAAAAATAAATTTCTAAATTTGAATGCAGTTTTTTAGAGAATGGCGCCAGAAACATTTAGAGGTATGCCACTTCAAAATCCGATTAAAATAAGGTGAGTTATGGAGTTTAGAACTTCAGCCTTAGGACATTTCTTATACTTTTTGATTTTTCTACATCAGAAAAATTACAAAAATTTAAAAAAAAAATAATTTTCTAAATTTGAATGCAGTTTTTTAGAGAATTGCGCCAGAAACATTTAGAGGTATGCCACTTCAAAATCCGATTAAAATAAGTAGAGTTATGGAGTTTAGAACTTCAGCCTTAGGACATTTCTTATACTTTTTGATTTTTCTACATAAGAAAAATTACAAAAATTTAAAAAAAAATTATTTTCTAAATTTGAATGCAGTTTTTTGGAGAATTGCGCCAGAAACATTTAGAGGTATGCCACTTCAAAATCCGATTAAAATAAGTTGAGTTATGGAGTTTAGAACTTCAGCCTTAGGACATTTCTTATATTTTTTGATTTTTCTACATCAGAAAAATTACAAAAATTTAAAAAAAAAAATAATTTTCTAAATTTGAGTGCAGTTTTTTGGAGAATTGCGCCAGAAACATTTAGAGGTATGCCACTTCAAAATCCGATTAAAATAAGTTGAGTTATGGAGTTTAGAACTTCAGCCTTAGGACATTTCTTATACTTTTTGATTTTTCTACATAAGAAAAATTACAAAAATTTAAAAAAAAATAATTTTCTAAATTTGAATGCAGTTTTTTAGAGAATTGCGCCAGAAACATTTAGAGGTATGCCACTTCAAAATCCGATTAAAATAAGTTGAGTTATGGAGTTTAGAACTTCAGCCTTAGGACATTTCTTGAACTTTTTGATTTTTCTACATAAGAAAAATTGCAAAAATTAAAAAAAAAAATAATTTTCTAAATTTGAATGCAGTTTTTTGGAGAATTGCGTCAGAAACATTTAGAGGTATGCCACTTCAAAATCCGATTAAAATAAGTTGAGTTATGGAGTTTAGAACTTCAGCCTTAGGACATTTCTTATATTTTTTGATTTTTCTACATCAGAAAAATTACAAAAATTTAAAAAAAAAAATAATTTTCTAAATTTGAATGCAGTTTTTTGGAGAATTGCGCCAGAAACATTTAGAGGTATGCCACTTCAAAATCCGATTAAAATAAGTTGAGTTATGGAGTTTAGAACTTCAGCCTTAGGACATTTCTTATACTTTTTGATTTTTCTACATAAGAAAAATTACAAAAATTTAAAAAAAAATAATTTTATAAATTTGAATGCAGTTTTTTAGAGAATTGCGCCAGAAACATTTAGAGGTATGCCACTTCAAAATCCGATTAAAATAAGTTGAGTTATGGAGTTTAGAACTTCAGCCTTAGGACATTTCTTGAACTTTTTGATTTTTCTACATAAGAAAAATTACAAAAATTAAAAAAAAAAATAATTTTCTAAATTTGAATGCAGTTTTTTGGAGAATTGCGCCAGAAACATTTAGAGGTATGCCACTTCAAAATCCGATTAAAATAAGTTGAGTTATGGAGTTTAGAACTTCAGCCTTAGGACATTTCTTACATTTTTTGATTTTTCTACATCAGAAAAATTACAAAAAAAATAAAAAAAAATAATTTTCTAAATTTGAATGCAGTTTTTTGGAGAATTGCGCCAGAAACATTTAGAGGTATGCCACTTCAAAATCCGATTAAAATAAGTTGAGTTATGGAGTTTAGAACTTCAGCCTTAGGACATTTCTTATACTTTTTGATTTTTCTACATAAGAAAAATTACAAAAATTTAAAAAAAAAATAATTTTATAAATTTGAATGCAGTTTTTTAGAGAATTGCGCCAGAAACATTTAGAGGTATGCCACTTCAAAATCCGATTAAAATAAGGTGAGTTATGGAGTTTAGAACTTCAGCCTTAGGACATTTCTTATACTTTTTGATTTTTCTACATAAGAAAAATTACAAAAATTTAAAAAAAAAATAATTTTCTAAATTTGAATGCAGTTTTTTAGAGAATTGCGCCAGAAACATTTAGAGGTATGCCACTTCAAAATCCGATTAAAATAAGGTGAGTTATGGAGTTTAGAACTTCAGCCTTAGGACATTTCTTATATTTTTTAATTTTTCTACATCAGAAAAATTACAAAAAAAATACAAAAAAATAATTTTCTAAATTTGAATGCAGTTTTTTAGAGAATTGCGCCAGAAACATTTAGAGGTATGCCACTTCAAAATCCGATTAAAATAAGTTGAGTTATGGAGTTTAGAACTTCAGCCTTAGGACATTTCTTGAACTTTTTGATTTTTCTACATAAGAAAAATTACAAAAATTAAAAAAAAAAATAATTTTCGAAATTTGAATGCAGTTTTTTGGAGAATTGCGCCAGAAACATTTAGAGGTATGCCACTTCAAAATCCGATTAAAATAAGTTGAGTTATGGAGTTTAGAACTTCAGCCTTAGGACATTTCTTATACTTTTTGATTTTTCTACATAAGAAAAATTACAAAAATTTAAAAAAAAAATAGTTTTCTAAATTTGAATGCAGTTTTTTAGAGAATTGCGCCAGAAACATTTAGAGGTATGCCACTTCAAAATCCGATTAAAATAAGTTGAGTTATGGAGTTTAGAACTTCAGCCTTAGGACATTTCTTATACTTTTTGATTTTTCTACATAAGAAAAATTACAAAAATTTAAAAAAAAAATAATTTTCTAAATTTGAATGCAGTTTTTTAGAGAATTGCGCCAGAAACATTTAGAGGTATGCCACTTCAAAATCCGATTAAAATAAGTTGAGTTATGGAGTTTAGAACTTCAGCCTTAGGACATTTCTTATACTTTTTGATTTTTCTACATAAGAAAAATTACAAAAATTTAAAAAAAAAATAATTTTCTAAATTTGAATGCAGTTTTTTAGAGAATTGCGCCAGAAACATTTAGAGGTATGCCACTTCAAAATCCGATTAAAATAAGTTGAGTTATGGAGTTTAGAACTTCAGCCTTAGGACATTTCTTATACTTTTTGATTTTTCTACATAAGAAAAATTACAAAAATTTAAAAAAAAAATAATTTTCTAAATTTGAATGCAGTTTTTTAGAGAATTGCGCCAGAAACATTTAGAGGTATGCCACTTCGAAATCCGATTAAAATAAGTTGAGTTATGGAGTTTAGAACTTCAGCCTTAGGACATTTCTTATACTTTTTGATTTTTCTACATAAGAAAAATTACAAAAATTTAAAAAAAAAATAAATGTCTAAATTTGAATTCAGTTTTTTAGAGAATTGCGCCAGAAACATTTAGAGGTATGCCACTTCAAAGTCCGATTAAAATAAGGTGAGTTATGGAGTTTAGAACTACAGCCTTAGGACATTTGTTATATTTTTTACTCTACGAGTAACGGGTATAAAAATGCTTGCTCTTTCAATACCCTATATTTAAACTTTATTTCATCTGCGTGGCCTTGATCTTAGTGCCAATATTTTTTCATTAAATAGACAAACAGTCTGGAGTCTCCATTTAACGAAATTCCAAAATGAGTCCTAATTCACGGCGCTGCTTCATGCTGCTCACCATCGCATTATCGTTTCTAGCTCTGCGGCTAATCGATGGTTTCATAAGTCTAAAGGAGCGTGAGTTTATGTTTATTATTATATTATTGTATTTTACGTTTACGTGACTTAAGCAGCTGTTCTGGCCACTCACAGTCGAGAAATTCAGGAGATCCAAGACGATTTTGTGCATCTGGCAGATAATGTAAGCTAGACTCTAAAGTAATTTGATTGTTTTTTAATCCCCCGAAAGTGCTCCATAGAGAAGCTGATGGTGGACGACTCCCTGGAGTATCTTCAGATTAGTTGCCATGTGGATGATCAGCCAGAGGGATACGGCAGACGAATGAAGCCCGTCGATTATGGCCGGAGTTTCTTCCTCAACCAGCGGATGCCGAAGCCTTTGAAGCGCCAGTGGAATTTCCGAGTGTCCAAGAATGCCGTGAATGGACTCAGTCTGCTGACTTGATTGATTCGACTCCACTAGACTGATAAAGAAAATGTCTGAAATGAGCTTATCACTTTGATTTTGGAGGGGAAAATGCTTGGCCACCGGCGGATTTCAATTAATCCGGGGGTCAGCATAGAAGGAGCCGCTACCGAATGATCGGTAATGATCCCGGGGCCTTTGTCTTTAATGAGCTTATCCATCATCGCGGTCACAGCTCCCAGCGTCTTTAACTCATCTGTCACAGGGCTAATAGGTTTCATTAGTCATCTCCAATCGTTCGCTTTATCAGCTGCTTTTTTCTCTCATTTTTTTGTGGTCATTTCTCAGAGTCTCTGAGCCGAACGAAATGTATTTTCAGTTTTGGTTTTGCCTCAGTTTGGCTTCTACCTTTGTCCCCTTTTCGATTCGTTTGGCGTTTGCGTGTCGACAGCAATTTTCACCTTAATTATTTCTGGCGGCAGGAGTCGTCGGGTGGCCGAGGATGGGTCCAGCACGCGCTAATGTTTAATATCCGCCAGGATAATGGAGAGGGTGGCCAGAGGGTGGGCAGAGGAGGAGGGTCGGTTGGGGACACTGAAGAAGACACCCAGTCCAAAACCAGACCAGACAGTTATGCAAATTTCCAACTTTATTTGTATATTAAAGGGAGAACAAAACCTCCGTTACCCTAATGATGAACCAGGCAATACCTTATGACGTCTGGAAATTCGTGGAAAATTTATATAATTTTAACTTACGCAACTGTAACGAGACGCCAATAACCATAAACATCTTACAAAAAATATATTCAAATTTTTAGGATAGGCAAAAGAAATAACGACAAATCTATATTTAAAATAATCATAAAAGCAAATGCCTAACTACAATTAGATATTTAAATAATAAAATAGGAAATTGAACTGTAAGAACCTTGAAAAGTTATTTTGAATCAGTAATATACATTTTCTAGCTCATTGGTTTTTTACAAATTTTCCTAATACGAACTGGGAAATAGCCTTAGTTTAACCAAAAAACTACACCAATCCAAATACTCCCCGAAAGTCAAAAAGTATCTGTAAAACGGAAGCGAAGCGTGTGCTCGTAAATTACTGTGGCCACACACAGATACACCACACACATACACTACCACTACAACCACCAGGATGTCAGTTGGATGTTCCTCTGTGTTTGTTTGCCCATTTGGGCCATCGTCCTTTCGTGTCCTGCCTGTCTAACATTGTCCGTTCATTGTCTTGCCATGGCCTGTTTTTTTTTGAGAGAGGTGGAAAGCTGGAGAGTGGGAAAATGGAAAAATGGGGGCTGGGGTTTTCCTTTCTGTTTGCCATTCAATATTGGCGCCATTGTAGCCCCTCTCCGCGACTCCTTGCATATCCTGGCCGCGCTTCCACTCCCCCTCCTTGGCAGCCATAAAATGTTCAATTAGTTAATGAAAAATTTTCCAATTGGAAAACATTCGAGTTCAACTAACGACGTTGTATGCAGGGGAGGCGCTGCAGAGGGATAAGGACAAGGACTTGGAGTAGGGGTCTTTCTCCTTTGTGGAATATGCCTTCAGGTCGGAAATTTATGCATGTGATTTATGCACAACAACGATTGCCAATTACAATATCATTTCTCTTCTTGTCTCCTCGGCTTTGTGTTTGCATTTGTTCATTTTGTCTTGCCCTCGGGTTCCTTTTTTTCCACCTTTTTGACCTGTGCCTTTGGACGAGTGTCCGTGTGTGGGGTGCCATTAAGAAATGTGTCAAAACACGTGAGGAATTATATAAGTTAAGCCGCGACAGCGGGGGTTAAGCATCCAGGGTAGAACTGATAAGAAATGGCGCAAGAACAAATTAATTTATATTTAAGCAAGTCGTTTTATGCCTCTTTGAACAACTTCCAAAATAACCAAGAGGTGGTCTTGTTTGAAAACTTTTAGATTTTTAGATTTAGATGATGATTTGTTCCCTTAATAGTTACTAATGAAGCAAAACATAACTTTACCTTATCCCTCTAAAAGCAGTTCCCGAGCTCATATTGCATATGAATTAGAGCGGAACATTGGTCATTGGCACGTACCCGCTGAAGGGCCCTCTTGGCCCCCTTAACCCCGGTTAACCCGAGACGACCCCCACCCACAAACCACCCAACCATTCAGCCATCACCAGAATCAAAAGTCAACAACTCTCGCTTTGTTTTACTTTCCCAGCAAACAGAAATTAAAGCCAAAGAAAAAAGCAAAACGAGTGGCGAACAGGAAAAGCCAACGCATGACACAAATTTCTGGGAAGGAAGGTGGTGGCAGAACAAAAAGCGGACTGCTGAGGAAATGGGGAAAATGCGTCAAGGGAAATGATGGAAATATTGAGAACGCATATGAGAAGAGCAAAAACCCAAAAAACAAAAAAATAGTCCAGACTTTGGCGCGCGGCATTCGGTAAACAAAGAAGAAACGCTCAGCAAACATAAGCGGAAAACAGAAACTCGCTGGTTGACCGAGCATCAATAGAGCGGCTAACTTGCTGGATTTTCACTATGGAAAAGCTGGGGAAAAACAAAGCAAAAGCTTGGCACGAAATGCGGGAGTTTCCTGTGCAGAGCGTGTAATGAAGCCTGAAATCGATTTGTGGCATGATACAATGATCTATGCTCGACTTAAACGAAGGGTGATCGCCGACCACTGAACCATCTGATCCAAATGAACCACCTGAACCACCTGCAGCACCTGTGCCACCCACCTACAGCTTGCGTTTTCGGTGGATATCCGATCGACAGCCAGCTGTTGCCATCCCGAAATCCCCAAATTTACAGCACTCCAGCTCCTTTTAGTGGCATTTGCCTCCTAACCAGGAATTTACGATCGCTGCCATTGTTTACTTATTCTCATTGGTGCTCTTTTATTGGCCTCACCTTCTACACACTTAGCTCACGCATTCTGAACACTGTGAGAAAATGATTGGGTTAGGTGTATACGATGGTAGAAACAATATTTTAACCCTTATTTTTCTGACACATGGAAGCTTCCGAAAAGTTTCGCAACAGTATTACAATTGCTCATCGAAACTGAAAACATATAAGATTAAAAAGATTCCATTGCATATTCTCAGTGTAGCTGCCCGCTGGCAACGCGCAGGAAACTGAAGTGGGGCCCAAGCACCACTGAACCACCGAATCCCCAAGCCACGCACCACCATGGTCGAGGTGTCAAGTGTTTTGCCTTATCTCTGCGGTTGCTTCCTCTTGTTTGTAGGCCAACTCCTCGGCAAGTTGGTATCCAATCCAAGAGGAGGAGACCCGAGACCGCCGACGTGTCTGCCTCTCGAATTGCGTCAAAAATTATCGCCATTAAATGTAGATGAGCGTTTAGTTGTAAAGTTATTGGCCCATAAATAACCCCTGGGTCTGTAGCTATACGCAGAATCCAGGTCCGAAGAATCCGAGGAGGGACTGTTTCTTCTCTTCATTCATAAAAGAAATGTGATTTATGAGCCGTTGCGCTTGCGGAACTTTTGATTGCAGGTTCTAATAAGGATGATGGTCGCAGCTAATTGAAATTCATTTGCTGATTGAGCAGGAATTCAGTGAAATTAAAAATTAGTAGCTATGGGAGAGGGAGAGGGAGAGGGAGGGGGTTTCCTAACAAGACTTAATTTATGTGTTGGGTCTTAGCTTAGGGTATCTTGTGTCTCCTTAAAGTAATTAAGTTACAAGTGTATTAACTAAATTAAAAGCACCAAAGTTGTTCGTTTCAAGTTTTGAATTATTTCGAAATGGTGATTCTGGGTTTTATAAATTTAAAAAAAATAGCATATTTTGTATTTTTAAAAATATGGGTCAATCATAGGTGTCTAGGTGGCGCCATCTATTTCTTGGCTTTCTTCGGTTTATTACCGCCATCCATATCTAAGTGTCAAAAGTAAAATCAGAAATGTGAGTTCCTGCCCTGGCCGTAGGGTGGCGCTCCATTAGTTTCCAAGTAATAGTACAAGGTGGCGCTAGTAAAAATTTTAACAGCAATTTTCGGCTAATTGTTACAAAAATGAAAACTAACCTGCGGTTAACATGCTCGCCCATAAAAACAGTTTGATATTCACTTGCGTTTCCTGCACTGCTCTTTGATTTTTCCCTCAGGCAGTCCTCAACACGCCTACTCTTAATGGCTCCCAAACTGCAGGAAATCGCTGGAAAATTATCTGGCATTCCAACTGATTCAGCGTAAAACATGACGGCTCGGTTGTGACTGCAACTATCTAATGATTAAAAGTGTACAAAATAATAAAAACCATAAGTACACAAGCAAAACCTAGCTTACAAGCTTCGTGAAGTAGCTTACTGGCCGCAACAACATCCACATTTTCGCATCCTGGCTGTGGAGCAAGACCAAAATTCGGATAGAAGTCCACGGTACCGCGAGGTCGAATATCCCCAAACACAGGGTAGTCCGTGTGAATCACGTCCACGAACTGGGCGGCATTCGAGTGCAAGCTGTCGTCCGATCGGCTTGAAAAAAGGGGCAGTGCCGGATCCAAACCTGTAACTCTGCCCAAGGATCCATTGAAATAACGTCCAATGCAGCCTGCGATGTGAGCTCCCAAACTGTGTCCTATGACATGGACTCCTGCTAAGGAGATCCCATGGCGCTGAAGAAATTCTTCCAATAGTTTGGCTAGAGTGCCGGACACTTTCTTCACAGCCAATCGCGAGCTGGGATAATCTAAATTGGCCACAGGACCCCAGTCAGCCACCAAAACATTCTCATATCCCTGAGCAGTGAAGGCTTCGTAATTGTTAGATAAATTCGAGATTAAAGCTAAGGCATTTTCACTGTGAGTTCTTACCATTTCTCAGAGGCATTATAGAGCCATGTGTGCGATATCCCAGATAACCGTGCACAATCAACTTGAGAGAGTCCACAGAGGCCAACTGATCCACATTCTCCAGGGCAACATCCCCTGAAGATTGAAGGTAGTAAATGGTAGTCTGGTTGAGCAAAGAGTCCAGCAGAGCGGCTTGTAATCCCAAAAACTGGCAGAGAATCGGTACCAGGCATAAGCTGGTCTTGGCCATGTCCAAAGTAATCCACATTACCCACTCGAATAACTAGAGATTCCATCGAAACCTCAGCTATTTATAGCCAGAACATAGCATGCGTTCCACTAATCGACCGATTAGGGAAAATCTCCCAGAGATGACGTACTTTCAGGTGAGTACTCGTAAATTTACTGTATTATCTAGGTATTAAGTAATTTTCCATAAATATTACACACACACGCACAAAGAGATTCAAAGCTAAAGCTAGGGCTAAAATGCAAGCAATCGATTGTGGGTTTTCCCTGATTTCGGAGACGGCTGTTTCACAGATTTCCTATCGCCTGCCATCATCTGATCCTTCGACAACGGGACGAATCAGCCAGCGAACCCTTTTCAGCGAGTTCTCTCCTGAGAATGTATCCCACCAGATCCCAGTTTCTCCAGCTTGGCCAAAGTTCTGCGTGGTATATTCGCCGAATAAGTTGCTCTTGGCGCAGTTATTAAACCATCCAGCTCCCTTGTGTCTCAGGGCGCAATTGCACTCGGGGCAGTTGTCGTTATCCTGATCCACAGTGCTGAACCTAGCTCCGGCATGATAGGTCAATGAGTCTCCAGCTGAGGGAGTCAAATTATCCTGGAACTTGCCCAGCAGGACGAGGGGATACAGTTCCTTTTCGCTGCCAATGGCGAACAACGAATATCCCGCATACGCCACGTTGCCCGAAAAGTCCTCCATCTCAATCCGCAGTTCGTGCAAGGCCGATGAAGTGAGGGCATGCAGCTTGTTTAGACCGATGAAGAAGTCGCCGGCCAGATTTCCAAAGCCATCGCGATAATCCAGCCAGCCGCGTTCGAAGCTCACATCATCGGAGCTGCGGCTCAAAATAACAGTCCAATCCTCATAGCAGGACACGTAGAAGGATTCCGATTCGGGTGTGAGCTGGATTTTCAGAACTCCATGGCTGGCAAGGAAGGAGTAGGAACAACTAGTATGCAACTGCCGTGTCGCTGAGGGTTCATGTAATCCATTTGGACCATAGAAGATTGGAGCCTGAGCTGCTGTCGCCTTCAATTCCTTTCCCTGGATCAAACGGCTCTGGCGCCTGAAAGATACATGGCTTATATGAAATACACTTTATATCTAGTACTTACCTAATGGCCCGTGAGAGATTGGCCACTTCAATCTGCAGTGATCTGACCCCGAGAGCAGTGGAGGCCAAGAGAGTGGCTAAGGCATCCAGGCGACTTGAGACGTTCAAGTTGGATTCGTTAAATACACCAGTTCCCGGGCTGGAAAACTGATCCTGTGAGACGTCGCGAACAGTGCGCGAGATATCTGCCGAGAAGGAATTAAAATTATCAAAATGTGCTTTTCAATGGGAACTAGCCAACCAGAGACACAAACAGAGCACAACATCGACATTTCTATTAGGTTACCCTTCAACTTCCTGCGATTTCTTAGCTTGTGTTTGAGCTCCCTAATATTTCGGGGACCGAAAACCTGATCGGTTTCACCTTTAAGCTCATCCAGAGTGTTTCTCGAAAGCCGCTGGATGTGCTCAAAGCTGTCCAGTCTCTGCAGGAAGTCCAATTGCTGGGCCTTCATCGATTCCATGCGGGCTGAACTGCTTTCCACTAGCTGATCCAATCTAAAAAAATGTAATACAAATAGTTAATGAGTAGAAAACGACAGAGAAGCTTATTGCTTTCGAAATGACCCACTTAGACGATTTTCCTTGGGCGAAAAGATGATAAAGCTCTGAGATATATTTCTGTTTCTATTGCTGCGCTTTCCGTTTTCAAACGATCGTACAAAATATCCGATTAAAGGCAACAAAGAAAGAAATGTATTAAGCAAACAAGCAAAAACGATGGGATACAATCTATAAACACTTTCCGGATGAGCGTAAAAATCAGCAGCGAATTTCTGCGAACCTATAACAATAAATTTGACCCAGAAAGCAATTGCAGATGCTTCGCAACAAAGACTACATATAAGGAAAATAATTATATTGGATTGAGCATCATTCTTGTGCCAAAAAGGTCGCAGAGTCACTGAAAAGTTCCGAAGACGTATTTGGCTTTACCGGTTTTACAAAATATTTCATATGATCTGTCTATGTCAAACCAGTTCTCACTTCTTATCGATGACTTCCAGGCGGTGGCGCTGGTCCTCGTCCAAGGTCACCAAGATGCCAACGCGATCGTGCAGATTGGTCATGAGCTCCTTGTAGTCGCATCTGGGAAGACTTGTGGAGGTCGCAGTACTCTGGATATTGGCGGTACAAAAGAGGGGAGACGATACATTAAGCAAACACGAGGCCAGCGCATTGAACTTGTTCTGGCCAAAACGAAACCTGCTGGCCAAAAGCGGGCAGCCAGTCAGTAAGACTTAAATTCACATTACAGTGGACGATCGAGAGAGCAAACACCACATTATGCCAAATAGGTTTTTGCGTTTCAAACAATGGGCTAATTTATGTTATTTTCTTGCATTTATTTTCTGACACTTTTTAATGTTGGTCATGTCACTTGGAAACACTTCTTCGAAGCTCTTAGCTCATGCAGTTTCAGGTCGATATCTGCTTTTTTCTGCCGTTTTTCTTTCTAACTTGTGATATTTATAGCGTTGGCTTCCTTTTATCATGGTCCGCATTCCAAATACACTTTAATGACTCATTGGTAATTACTTATACGGCAAAATGCAGTTATTGAAATGAATAAAATGAAATGAAGATTGAATGTTCCACGCAATACACACTACACATCTTAGTAATACTTCATAGACCTAACGTAAATTTATGCCTTTAGATATATGTGCTTTTAATTAGTATCTCATTAAACAAGCTATGTGGTTTGTTCTTGCGATCGTCCGCCGTATCTTCACTGTAACGCACTCGGAAGTTGCTGGGCATGCGCGACCGCGTTTGGTTGCTCCGCAGGTGGCGAGGTGGGAGTGGAGGTGGCGGTGGTGCCTGGGTGACTCCGGGAGCTTCCACAATGGAACCAGTGCCAAGGCCGCAGAGCGCAGCCAGCACCATGCCAATGCCCATGGTCGCCAATTGGGGCCTCATCGTGTCACTTTGTTTACGCGCCGCTCAGAGCAACAAATCACTGGGAATCACTCGAGACTTGGCACCTATCCCTGGTTCCACGCAAGATGAGGGAGTTGAAGAGCCGCGATCAGTACGTCCGTTCCGGTTGAAGTTTGCGAGGAAACTGAGCGTATTCCGGACCCAGTCGGTGATCGCAGCTCTCGGAGAGGAGCTTTTCTCGTAGAAAAGCTTTTTGAGATGCTTCAAGTGTATGTTTTTCGCGGCATCGTCTTTGTTTATGCACATCTGTCTAGAAGACTGCGAAAAATCCCCGCCGGCGTTTTTGGATTTTTTTGGGCTGTCAATCAATTGGTTGTCTACACGGCACACTAATCATTCCATAAAAAACCAAGAGAACCATACGGGCTGAGAATTATTAATTGAATATGAAAAAAGGCAGGATGGAATCGCCACTAAGAGCTACTAGTCTTGTGCTTATAGCTTTTAGTTGTGGTATCATTTTAATGCCAATTAGTTAGTAAAGTATTTAAACTCAAGATTAAATGTGGCATCATTTTATAATGTCATGTCAGACTTTGATTACTTCAAAAATCATTAGAGACTTTAAAGCTATTACCATTACATATCCATTTGTTTACTAAAACCGGGTAATAATGAATACTGTTAAAGAACAAAATGTCAGCAACTACGTTTACCAAAACATGTACTTATATAAACAAAATGTCAGCAACTACGTTTACCAAAACATGTACCTTATGCAATTGTTAAGATATTCTATTAAAGAAGATCTCGTACTAGGTCCTAAAAGTCGCCAAGTGCGTAACATTCCCGCCGTAAGTCATCAATGCTAATTGCTAGGTAATTTTATGCAACTGAAACTATTGCTACACCTTGCTAAAATTCACTACGTAGTTTGCATGCCAATGATATGCAAACTCACTCACTGGTCTTTTGGTTAAGACTGCCTCAAGTTGGCAACATTTCCATATATAACTACATATAGTGGCCGATATGAAAGGGCTAACCTTAGCAGGCGATGAGTAATCATGAGGTGGGGAATGCATGCCAAACGCCGCGGTTTCCCCGATACGTTGACGTTATATTTATAGAACTTATATGCGTTTTAATTTATATGCATTTTGGCCTTAGCCGTCATCGGTTGATATAATGCAAGACTCACGAGCAGAATAAATATGGATGCAATGCCATTTCTAAGGGGCTTAACAACTTGTTCACGAGATTGCCTTTGATTTTCCGTTGTTCCGCTTATGTCATCTGTAATTGTTTTGCTCAATTACAATGGTGATGGGTTTTATGGACTTCTGAAGGCTTACAGCTGGAAGTTGAACCTAGGAAACCTTTTCGTCTGCCCAGCTGCAGATGAATCGTGCCGAGATGCTCGCCTGTTGATACCAAAAGGCAGGCCCAAAGCTCATCCAACTCTATTTGTGGCCAAGATGAATTGCCGGAATGATGACGCAACCGCCGTCGGGTGGCAAAAAAGGCGGCAGAGAAATACGTTTCTTAATGCCATGTATATTGTTTGCCCGTTTGCCCGAAAAAGAGTTGTGTCATTTACATAATTAATGCTTTTGGGTCCCATGGATGCCACCCATTTTCCTCCTACATCATCACTTCGGCAACTTGTCATCCTCTGAATTATTTCAATTGCTCGAATGGGGGTTGAGTAAATTACAAGGCTTGCCAACTACATTTCAAGCAATCAAAAATTATTGTATTGTTATTTGTGGCTAGAGAACTAGGCCATAAATCACTCGGAAAATAAAAGACACTCATTACTTTTCATTGGCCTTGGCCGCATTTTATTTAATATTAAATTATTGTACAGGTTGAACTTATTCAAATTGTATTTAGTTGCCATCCATTTGTTAAATAATAAACATTCAATATTTTTCCACTTTAAATATACCCATCGTGTCTGTTACTCTTGCCGAATATTGTTTTGTTCGTCTTTCGCTACTTAGAAATCAACTACAAATATTTACAAAATTTTCATTCTTATTTTTCGGGGGTTTGTGGGCCTCACCCACTTTTTCGTTTAACTATACAAAAATGCTTACGAGGTAAACATAAAAATTGCATGCTCCATCTAAACTATCGCCTATCTGCATCGAGAGTTCGTAATTTGTGTTAATAGATTTATTTTGTTTTTAACAAAGGTACATTAAATATATTTACGACAAATTCAATGCATTAAAAATATTTAAGTTTCTTATCGTTCCAGCCCTCCAGATAAATGTTTTTACCTTTCGTTCCCAGGGTTCCGGGGAGGGATTACCCCGCGCTTAGCTACTATATAGAGTACGATCCGCTAAAAACATTCTTAAGTTACTAACATTTACTCGTTTCGATTACGTTAGGGATTAGCTTAGTTTTCATCATTATCATTTGCTTGCTTGCTCGTCTCGAATGTTGTGCAAAATAATCAATTAGAGTTGTCCCGGAAAATGCACCGAAAAATCATTTGCGTTCGCCTGATAAAATTGCATTTAACGGAAACGAAAACGATAACGAAAACCAGTTCAATCTTCGCTAATTTCTTTCGATTCGATTCGATTTGTTCCATTGGCTCATTGGCTTATAAACTATGGACGTAACCTTCGGGATGGGAAAAGTGCAAAAGTGCGTTGCCATGCTTCGTTACCTTTTGTGTTGCGATCCAATAATTAATTGGGTAAAATTCGCAGAGAACCAAAAATAAAAGAATGCGTAAGCATCCTCATTGCCAAATCTTTAGGTGTGTGCAAAATTTTCTTTCAGTTTAATGTACTGCTCTTCTTGGCTAGCAAACAATTCTAAACAATTTTGCTGGCCAGCTGCTAGGTTTGTTTTCTAAAGTGCCTAATTCTTTATATTTATTAAGTTTTTGTTTACTTCGTGTTGTGTTTACCTTGCTGTAGTGTATTTCAGTGTCTTGTATTTGTGTTTTGCATACTTTTTTCATAAATCACAGAAAAAGTTTATTCATTTGAAATATTTGGTTTTCCATTTGCCATTGTTTAAATTTGACTTTTACCTTGGCTACAAAATATAATCTGGTTTTGGAGCGCTATTAAAACGTGGCCCTAATCGAGTTTGGTTCGAGTTATTTAAGTATCAACTAACTTAACGGGCTTGATATCTCCTTATAATCATGACTTAATCAGAGAATCTTAGCAATTTGATTGCCTACAACTCAAATTGGCTCGTCTTTCTCATAGATTTTTACGATATTCATAATATATTTTGTTCTACGCTTTAGTTTTCTCTACTCAAATCGTTTTTGATTTATTTACTTGTTTCAAAACCATGTGAAGTGTCTTTGATTTCAATTTGCACATTTGTTAGCTCTCATTTGAACTGCTCTTTAAGATTTGTGGAACCCGGATACGGCGGGCGTCCTCTCGTTTTGGCCAAAAACAGTACGTTTCTTAGATTATGGAAATGGATTGGGCTTGGTTTCGATTCTTCTCGCTACGAACTCTATGTAAAATACTTGGTTAGGTTACTTTAGTGTTTAGTTGATGGCTATTTTATCTCGAATTTACTTTTGGTTGATTGCTAAAAATTTGATTCTACTATTTTGCGTTCTTTGCTAGTTAAATTGTTTATCTATTCGCTTAAGTTTGCATCGAAAATGTTATGATTTATGATCCGTCAGCCTTCCTCCCGACCTTCGACTTTTGACTAAATGTTTCTAGGAATTCAATCATCATCCACACGTCAGCAAATCTGTGGAAAGAACCGAAAATTTAAGTAATAAACAGAAAGAAAACGAAATTAGCAAACATAAGTGGTATAAATGGTTTAAATTTATTGTTTTACATATCTTTAAAGATTGATTTACTTGCTTTTTACATAAATTCATTTAATAGTTATAAAATTATCACTTAAACAGCGCGCCGAACTAATATATTTTATAATGACAAAGGAAGCGGTACAAAATCATACAATCAAACAATTAAAAGGAGCTGTGAGCAGAAATAAACATCTCTTAATTTGAAAAAGTATAAGTATTTTAAGTTGAGTAATTGCTTGGAAATAATCGTACATTTTTTGAGCACATTATTTGATTAATTGATTCATTTTTTAGGCGCATTGCTGCCATTTCATTAATCTTTATTAATTGCACTCTATTAAAGCAGTAACCAATTGAATGTTTATTTGCAATTTTAATAAACACTACGCAGCCAAACATTCGCGTTGAAAAAATCGACTAAAAACCAAAGAAAAAATAATGAAAACGAAATACACACGAGCATATCAGACATGATGATGATTATCTCTCACTCATTGCAAAACGAACATATTGCGCAATCCACAGAGGCAATTCACTCACTAAAAGCTACCATTAAATGTAAATTTTCGTTAGCTTACAAAAGAATACAGAAAAACTTGTCTGCGCTTTGACTAAACTGAGTATCCTTTTCGACGCGGCTGCAGGATGGCGAGAAATCTAATGAAATCTATACTAACTTTAAGCAATTTGACTGAACATAAAATGCTGCCGTTGGTGCCGTGCTTTCTGCAAAACTCCCTCAGCTAACTCACTGCGAAATCGAACTAACAACTAAAAAGTATCATAGATTATAGTACAAAACTTCCGCGCGGGCGAGAAGTTCCACTTCCTCATTATATATGGCTGTCGATTGCTGGATGATGCGATAGGTTGATTGACAGGTTGATAGTCCGGGAGGATGTTGATTGGGTGATTGGGATCCTAACAGTAGAAACGTACGCCATCCACAGAGAGGACTTGCTTTAATTTTCATTTATTCTGTCGATTTGGCTCCGTGTAAAGCTGCACGCCTTCCACGGTGAAAATTGAGGTTTCTGTTTTGGGGGGCGAGAGAGAAACGAACAGTGCTAATTAGTACAAGATAATAAAATAATATTTGTAATTAAAAAGTTTGAGTTATGGCAGCCTGCTGGACTCTGACCATGACATAATTCAATTTACAGCCATCGATGAGCGACAATTAAAATTGCCATTGGCGAAATTACATTTTCCAGCCGCACATGATAGTCAGGCAACCCAACCACGCACGAAAGTCACTCGGATGTGTACAGTAGTCGCTCTAGTGAGTGACCACTGTGTAATGAGAAACGGGTGGGTAAAATTATTGAACACACATATATTATTGCATAGTTTCTCTCCCAATTACAACTAGCTTAGGTTGTTTCCAGTGATCTCTGTAAATATGTGTTTCCTAACGCAATGCGCACTGTATCAGAGTTCGTAGTACACAGAGTGTATACAAACCTAAGCCACAAAACCGCACACGGGGTGTGATGACCTTTCCTGGCCATGATAAATGAAGCGCATTAGTTGCGTTTTAATTGATTCTATCTGTCCACGCTGCGTATACGCAATGTTGCAGAGGCAAATACTGGGTAACATGCCAAGAAAATTTCAACCCTTTCGTAATGAGTTGGGTTAGGGTTTTACTACAGCGACTGTGATTTAGCCAGAAATTAGCATAGCTCCCTCTTCTGGATTTGTGTGCAGAAAAAATAGATCCAGTTTGTGTAAACAAATCACGCTGTAATCGCATTTTAAGCACACTTTAAGCTGCCCTCGATTAAGTGCACGTCTAAAGAGGGGAATTTGCACTTATTCATTTATTTTCGGTTTTCCCCACTGCATTCTCGAGTGGCTTTTGTGCCCCCTATACATATCTATGCATTTTTAAAGCCCCCTCTCCATTGCACTACCGTAGGTTTTCCCGAAACTCAGTGGATTGCATTTGCCAAATTGCAAAGTCCGCAACTCGATGCTGGTTTTTGGGGCTGGCCCTTAAATATCCTTTTCGGAAATGTTTCCATTTACCGAGTGGCATCCGATAGGAGGTCTGCTAATGAATGCAGGTCCTCGGGAAAGACGGAAGTTTATGAACTAGAAAGGGCAGGCGGGTTGTAATGGAGCTTGAAGAGATAATTGGTAATAGGTACATATACAAAATAAACAAAACATCAGACAGTAGCTATCGAATTCACAGGATTTTCTTATGGAGTTTTCCACATCATTTAAATGTCCTTAAATAGATATTTCCATTCGGTGCCATATTATGTACGATTTGAATTGCAAAGCGAGCCATTATTTACTTTTGAATGTTCACTTATCGCAATCTAATTAGTAGACCAGCTTGATTTTCTGTCTGTGGGTCTGTATTTGTCCAACAAGTTTGTCCTTTGCATTCGGTATTTATTTTCCCAACTTGTTGCAAACTTTTGCCACCACTTGAAATACAAATTAAAACCGGCAAATGCAATTACTGTTAACTATACCTCGGAAACACTCGCTAAGCAGGCCCTCAATCCACGGAAAACTGCTCGAAAGGCAAACAAATTGTCGCGAAACTTAAATGAGTTGTCCTGTACAAAGAATGGGCTACCGTCACGGGATTTTTGCCTGACTTTCAGCCAACTTTGAGCAAACATTTCATCCTTTTTCCCCCCTTTTTTTCGTTGCCTTGCGAAGCTTTGTTAATTGGTTTTCTTTCCGGCCACACAGGCAATGGCCAAAAGTTTGGGCTGTAAATGTTTAATGCATTAATTCAATTTGCGAGCCTCACCGTCTGGCAATTCGTAGAGTTTCTTTGGCAACTGCGCAAAGTACGGATGCTGCAGTGCATCATCGGCGCCCAAACGCTGCTCCGGATTCAGCTGCAGGAAGCCGTTCGCTATCGTCTCGCCCTCGATGATGTCGTATAGCCGTGGGAAGTTGTGACCCAGTTTCCGCGGTCGATAGAAACCTGCATCGAAAGGTTGACACACCAAAAGGTGTACACCAAATTAGCTTCCAGAGTTCAAACAGGTCGGTCTCTGGCCCCGAGGCCAATTACTTACCCAGCTTGTGTGGCTTGTAGCCGGGAAAGTGGGTGACTCCCGGCCACGTGTCCTCGGTGGGCGTGCCCAGCAATTTGAATATCTTGTCCAGCTGATCGTAGGTATCACGTATGCCCGGAAACGTCGGCATCCCGGTCACCATCTCCACGAAGATGCAGCCAACGCCCCACATGTCCAGCGAGGTCGAGTACTCCGTGCTGCCCAGCAGGACGTCTGAAATGGTCACGAACTCCACGGTAAGTAAATGTACTTCTGTGTTCCCCTCTTTTGTTGCAAAACAAATTGCCATTTTAAATAAATAAGAGGGCGAGAGAGAGCACAGAGAGACCGGGAACTACAGGATGAGATAGTTCTCCACTTCCTGTGCACCTTTGTGTTTATCTTTGCTGCTGCTTTTTGGCCAGCAGCTAACAAAGTTTAGTCCTCCCATGGGCACACACGAATTTCTGGGTTGGATGCTGTTTGTGTTTAAATAGGAAGAGCGCGAAGTTTAAACCATAAACAAACCCAGTTAAACAGCATGTGCTCAACAATAAGCCAAGCTACAGCCTTATTTTATATTAATATATGTATCTCAATCTTTTTCGGATTGCACCTACTGCCACGCGTTTTTTGAAGAGTTACCTACATGTGCCTCAGTTCGCCTCCCACAATTTTCCGCGCAGGTGGCGACAGGTGCCCATGGCAACCACATCCGCATCCGTATCTGCATCCATCCACTGCTATCCCCTTTGTTTTTTGCATACTTCCGCTTTTTGCCTGCCGGCGCTGTCTGCCAAGAAGTGCAGATTAAATTTGTTTAACATGCTTCCGAACTATTCCCCAGCTGACGCTGATGCTGCCCATGGGTCAGGGGTCAGGGGTCAGGGGTCAGTAGTTCTGGGTGCGGACTGCAGCACAGGTATTCCAGCAGACACAAAGTGTTTATGCCAAGGGAATTGCATATTAGAAAAAATTAACTTTATTCCTCTGTCTCTACTCCTACGCTTTAGTTTTCCATTTAGCTGGCTCGCAAATTGATGGAAAAATCTTTGCCATGCAAAATGAATTGTTTACCCATTGTCAAGGGAGGGATCTTGGTGAGGAATTAATTTAATCCCAGCCGAGCTACTCTGCTAAGCCAACAATTTTCAGCCTGCATGGACCGTCAATTAATTGGCTTCGAGTGCACAAAACAAACGAAATATTTTAATGCGATTTTCAATTTGGTTCGACTTTGGGGCTTGGGCTAAGCTCCAAACTGCAAATTGTTTGCGCTGGGAAAAGTGATTACTAGTTTTTTTTTTTTTGCTTTGGCTATGAGCAGCTTACATGGAAAGGCTTTTAGCTGTTTAAGTTTAAAGGGATTAAGAGGTAGGAAAATACTGAATTCCTTGGCCTACGGTTGCAATGTGAAATCGATGTGTGAAGGAAAGAATTTGCTATTCATTCCAGCCAGGACTACATTTCGGCAAATATTCAACATTTTAGGTAACCAAATTAAAAGCAAACAAAATTCCCTGGGCTGAGCAATATGGCCAGATATTTAAATTAAAATGCCCCAACATTTCTAAGGCTCTCTCCACCGACCCATGGCACAAATTGGAGAAGCTCACCTGGAGGACGGTACCATAACGTGACCACCTCGTGGGAGTAGGTGTGGCTGGGCACGCTCTTGGCCCTGGCCAGTCCGAAGTCGGCCAACTTCAGTTCGCCGCAGTCGCTAATGAGCAGGTTCTGCGGCTTGACATCCCGATGGAGGACGCGCCGCTTGTGGCAGTAGGAGAGTCCACGGAGCAGCTGGAAGAGGAACAGGCGAACGTTGCGATGGTCCAGGCCGCCCGGATGCTTCTCCATGTACTGCGACAGATCCGTATTCTAAAAGGCGTGCATTCGATATCAGTTCAAGTAGTAAAATTATTAGCACTTCAAGTACTCACCACGTATTCAAAGACAAAGGTCAGCGTCTCGCGCGTGTGGACAATGTCGTGCAGCGTGACGATGTTGCTGTGTTTCAGTTCTTTCAGCAGCGAGGCCTCGCGGATCGCGGTGAAGGGTGCTCCCTCCTCCTCCTGCAGGCGAATCTCCTTCAGCGCCACCCGCTGGTAGGTTAATCTGTGGGCCACAGAAATGGGCGTGGGGATGGGGGATGGGGAATTAATAAAATAAATACTCGAGCGGGAATGTCCGACAAGAACAACAATTGCACAGCTGCCGGCGAAGCGGCAAAGAATTAGGCTCGCAATTTGTGGTAGGAGCCCTGCCACAATACCATCCTTGCCAGAAGTCAGGACATGTTGGGTGGGTCCAACGGGGGCCTTTGTATATTAAACAGACATAACGACCCAACACGCAGGGAAATGTACGGCAAACACTTAAATTAGGATAAGGGACAGGCCACAGGACATGGAAGAGCGAGCACACAGCTTGGAGCAGTGATGGCAGTTCAGCTTCTTTTGGGGCAAATATGGTTCAGACTTCAAGGGAAAACAAGTGGTAAGAAGCCCACCTACAAAATGAGATAATTGCACTACATAGCCAGCATATTTATTTTAAATTGCTAAATGCTGCTAATGCTATAAATTCCTTCCAACTAAAAAAGGTGCATCTTTTGGAAGAAGTGCCAGCACTGAAGAAGAATATAGGGGACAGGACACAGCGCAGGACATTTGAAGTGTCAAATTAGGTTAAATTATTTGACACTGCCGCACAGACGCTGGCAATTTATGCGGTTTCTCGCATTGCCAAGGCAAAATTCTAATTGGCAAGGCAAAAACCACCCGAAATAAAACCAAGAACGCAGCAAAGCTGGAAAATTTTACCATAAGGTAGTTGACTTTAAGAGCAGAAGCTAGAGTGAATTTACGAAAGTTTTTTCATGGCTCAACTTCACCGGCATGAAGACGTCACTTGAACATGTCAAAGTGCAAGTCTTTAGGGGCTGGAATTTATCACGCCACTAGCTAATTGGGCAAGCGAGGGTTAATGATGATGATGAGGGCTCCTGATGACTGAACTCAAGCGCATCAATTTGTCGAGCAGCATCGTAACTTCATAGAGCAAAGTAAATATGCGCAAAATGCCCTAAACTTTTTATCGCACACATAAAAATTCGCAGAATTTTCCCTATGCCCGAACAATATCGCCGGTTTGCGGCGAATTAAACCTTTTATGTCATACCAAAATGTATTCAATGTATAAAATACACTTGGTTAATAAACCTTTAGCATCCAGGAGCCGGAGAAAAATGCTATAAAAAGCTTATGTCCTTACCGCATCCTGAGCAATTTCCATGTAAACGAAAAACAGCTGCCAGGCAAAGCGAGTTTTCTCATGAAAAGTGTACATGGAAAAAAAGGGAGTGGATTCTAGAAGCTGTGGAATCAGATTAGCTCCAAACAATAAAAAAGCCCATTTTAGATTGAAACATTAATTGTTCAATATTTTATCTTATTATCTTTAACCATTATCACAATGTATACATAAATAAGTTTTTCAGAAACATGATTTTTTATCTGTGCACAGAGCTTTAAAATCTCTTGATGATTTGTCAAGTGCGAAATGGTGGGAGGTTTTGAAGAGGATTTGTGGGCTGAGATCAAACTTTGTCTTGTTAATGTTAAAATAATACGATTTAGTTAAGCATAAACCGAAATTGCGTGTGCCATCAAAGTTGAGGAAAACTTTTCGCAATCGAAGTTTCCCCCCGCCAGATGGCGTCTTTTCGTGACAGCTGACCTACTAAATGCTAATCAGCAACTTGACTTTCTGCTCGAGGACTCTTAGCTTGATTTCTTGCCCTTTTCAGTGTTTGCATAGGTAAAAAATAGTAGTCGAAAAATGCCAACGTACATTGGGAAACACAAAGGAATCCAGGACAAGGCAAGGAAAAACGAAAGTCAAATAGAAGTGAAATCATTCATGAAATCTTTTACAATTGACAAACAGAAGGATCTAGAGCTGCGGGGATTCATTTGGCCGAAGGGGGCAAAAAACAGTTCGAGAGGAAGCATAAATCTTAGAGAAGGAAAGTGACCTAAATTTCCATTTGAAAGGCAAGAGAAAAAAACAGAGCGCAAGGAGTCGCAAAAAGGACTCTAAACAAAGCCAGGCCCAAGAAGAGTAAAAGCCAAAAACTGAGAGGTCACATTTCCATTTGGCAGATAAATTAGAGCGAATTAATTGCATTTCGTATAAACAAAGGCTAATTGGAACTCATTTCGCATGTAAGTGCCGTCGTGCATAGCAAATGAGTAGGGGAAAGGGAAAGCCGGGAAAACTAGGAGCTGTAGGATAACAATAGGGCGGAAAAGAGGGAAAACTCAGCCGAAGAGGCTGTCAAACAACTTTCAGCTCGTTCTTCACGTAATGCCCATTCTACAAGGAGAAGTTCGAGGCAACACCAGAGCAAATGATTGTCAAATAAATCAAAAACAAAAGGGAGACAAAAGATAAAGTGCGTGTGAGGGCAGGAGGAAGTGGAAAATGGGGTGGGAAACCAGGGGGCAAGTGGCTGTGACAGGCAAAAAAACGGGGATTGGGTGGCATCTATCATCGGGAAAGCTGGACAGGGGAGTGCTGTCAAAAAGGTGACGAACCTGGCTCTCTCCCCTTCCCGTCTTGCCAGTGCCATTTGTCAAATTATGGGCGAAAGAGCCCAAGGCCCCAACTCCGATTCCAAACTCCTGCTCCTTAAACAGCTGAAATCAGTGCCAGACGAGGCGCAAATGAGGCAGCATTTTGTACTGCCATGTTTTTCTGGCGGTGAATGAAAATGGGCTGTGGAAAACCTAAGGAAGTCAACTCAATTGTGGGGCTAGTTTCCACAAAAGTGCGTGTTGTGCACTGGAACAAATGCTTAGCCCTATTTTCAAAGTGATTAATCAATGTTTTTGCCACATTTGAATGATTACAAATAAGGAAGACGAACAATAAAGAATCTTAATATTCAGTTTCGGGAATTCTGCTTTCCCGCTTGTGATTTGTCTCAGTGCAGAGCTACCCAACTAAACAATGGCGGACACAGGAGGAAAAGGAGCTGTGGAAACAGGACATTCCCGCTGCTCCTGCTGCAACTCAATCTCCTTCTCCCGCCGAGTGACCCACATTGCCCCATGGCAAACCACCACGACCACCCTTTCCTTTTGGCCGTGATTGATGGCCACATTTGCATGGCTCTGGCTGTAATGAGTCTGCCAACGGGGACAAAGGAATACGGTTTGGGATGGAGCAGAACTCCAAAAAATAACTAAGGGAAAACGTCGGATGCACGAGGGAAACTAGCGAATAAATCAAGGCAAAATGACGACACACATTTTTTTGCAGCTCAAAAAGCGAAATCCATTTTGATCGGGGTGTCCATCACAAAACTTCAAGCTGAGCTATATGCTGGCAATAATTTTTTACTTAACCCACTGACATGGCAACCCATTTTTGGGCGACCCAGGACCCGTGCTTCATTTTGGGTGCGCTACTCACTTGCTAAATCCTTTGTAGACCGTCGCATAGGACCCTTCGCCCAGCGGCTCGAGTTTAACGTAGGCCTCCTGCTTTCCGAATGGGGAGTCGCCCTGTGGGAAAAAAAGGACGATAAGTGAGACGCAAACAAATGGAGTTGAAAAATGTATCGTGTTTGTTAATTAATTAAGCAAAGTTAGTTTGGTGTGCGGTTCAGTTCGCATTACATTAGCGCGTGATGTAATCGGCGGGCATGAATACCCACTTCGGAAAGCCACATGTTTGTTTCCAGTTTGTTTTTCAATTACGCTAAAGCCGCTGTTTTCAGTAGGCATACAGGGGAAATTTCTGTTTAATTAAATACTTAATATGAAGTTGCCTCTTGGCGTAAAAAGTTGTGTAAACTTTCCTTTATTTTAATATGTTAAATTTAATTTCTCACTGCAAACGTTCGGGGAATATTTTTGAATTTTTAATTAATGTCTTAATATGATGTTGGCTTTTCGCCTTTCAGAGTAAACATTTGTTCAAGTGTTTGATGGCTTTTACATGGGGCCACTTTAATTATTTTTGTGCCTAAAAGTATGCAGTGCAATTTATAAACACAGAGTAGTTCCTTGTTTAACCGTAGAATTTACAGATGGCGCCACTATGGTAAGAGTACAAGAGCAAAAAAAGTTCTCTAACTTTTACTCTAAGTTTACTTTAATAATCCATGCAAATATGAAAATGTAAAGAGATAACAATTTCTCAATTACATAAACTTTTTTAATAAATTAACCAAACTATATGTTTAATTAATTTTAATATTTATTAATAACCGGGAACTCTCAATGCCTAGACAAAGGGTCCCACCAAGACAAATTTCAAAGAGAATAAAAATTTTCAATGCCAAACCGGGCTCTGCATCGTGAACTCCATGCAAAAGCAGCCAGAAGCAGTTGGGAATTACAAGGCCAGTGAATCGAAAAAACCAATGCCCATATGAGTATGCTATTAAAAATGATTGAAAGTGCATTTCGAAAGTATAGTTAACTGATTGGAATACAGCAATGTGTTGGGCTGATTATATATGTATTTTTTAATACAATAATATTTATTGTAATATTTTTTAATATAAGGACATTTTGTCCTTGTTTAAATGTCCTTTTGATTACTGCTTTCTAACGCAACTATAAAACGGTGGAATCAAAATAATAAACGTGAACAATACTTACACCAAATGCACTGAATCGTTTCCGGCGCGGATGCGTTTCCTGTTTGTTCAGAAAGACCTCGGACTTGGGTCTGGGCGGCTTCTTGGGACGCATCACCACGTGGGAGTGGTACTTCATCTCCTCGCGGATGTCCTCGTCGAGCAACTTGCTGTCGGAGGACACGGAAAGCTGTCTCTGGACGCGATCGTGGTGGTCGGTGCTGTCCGTGCTGCGCCAGTCTGTAAATAGTGGGCAAAACAAAGCGGAAACGGAATGCTTGAGTAAACGGCCGGGATAAAGTAAGCAAAATGGCAGCAGGTAAAGACCCATGGAAAGGAATGGCCAAAATGCAAAGGAAAAGCCGCTTAATGAGCAGCAGACCCACTCAAAAACAAAATTAGTGGCCCCGACAACAACCTACAAGTGAGACGGAAGTGGATGGCAGCCAGCTCAAAGGACTATTTATGTACACTCGGTAGAAAAGGCTATCTAAAACAGAGTTCACCGAGTTTTACGCCAGAAGCTGCCTGTCTTGAAGTGCAGCATTAAGGGACCAGCTCTTAACTGAAAGAAGACAGTTAAGTGTGTTTTGCCTTAAATTTTAAAAACCTGAATAATAAAAGGTGTATTTTTGCATGTAATAAAAATGTATACTTAATTGGATTTTTTTGTGAGGCTTTGGACGAATTTAAGAATTTTACTCAGCTGCCATTCCAATGCATTTTTTGTCAGCGTAGGAAAATATTTGCCAGATGAACCTCGCATTTCTCATTTCCTTAATGAGCACAAAAGAAGGTGCGCGAACGAAAAGGGAAAAATTCCGTCGGCCAACTCATTATGCACATCATCAATATAATGAAGAATAAGAGCAAGAGAGCTGCCGGCATTTGTTGGCCAAAATAAATCGAGTTTGGCCAACCTTGAAATGGCCGGATTGAATGAATGGGAAATCGGTCTGTGGAAATTGTGCCATGTTTACCCCAGCCTCGTTATAATAAAATGTTTCAAAAGCCAACGCAGCAGCTGGCGAAAGTTGGTCTAGGACAAAGTTTTGCGAGAGGCGAGGAGAACGCACAGGTGTGCTGCGTTGCCTGTCCAGGAGGTGCAAAATCTGGGACTGGGTCACCTAGTAACCTGCTGATGATGATATATTTCTTCATTCATTGACTTTGCGGGTGCCCTGGGTTTTGGGATTCCACCTCCGAGTTCACGCCCGCCCAGCTGCGCTCGCTGTTTGTTTGGTTTTCTATTTGAGCACTAATTACATTTTAAATTATGTTTGCTTTTCGCCCCCTTCCACCAGGTGCAGTTCGCCACGTAACCATGACTGACTTTTCCGGCTGGGCAGCGGGGGAGGTGCGGGCAAATGGGCGGAAGTTTTCCAGCTCAGGTGCAACGGCATCATCTGCTTTCATCTGAAATATTTATATAACAAAGTTGCAGCAGCGCGGCAAATTGCTTTGCTTAAAGAGATTGCTCGTAGATATTGAAACTTTTGCCAAAGACCCACAGACACACATAGCCCTAGCACTAAAATAAAAACCAAATATCTTGAAATATTTTCCACTTGTGAATTCGCAACATGTTTCCCATTCAGCATTACTTGTTCGCTTATTTCTTTTGCCGCCTTTGGCGCGCGCCTCCCGCCAAATCATAAAAAATTTAATATACGCTCGCAAGATGTTCTTCCGGCCAGAGTTTCCTTATTCCAGCATAATGCTTGAAAAATTACTAACATAAAAATTAAAAATTCAACAGCAGCTGATTGTAGAAAAGAAAACTTTCAGCGGCCCACTGAGAGCAAAAAGGTGGATGGGGTGAATTTTCCACGCGAGGAGGAAGGAAAAACTGACGGGCTGCTGTTGAAAGATGATCCATAGACACAGCACTGAAAGAAAATCTATGTTCCACAATTCCACAAAAAGGGTAATGAAGTTTACTATTATTCTGCTATATAAGACACTAGAATTTCCGCTCAGTGTAGCATGGAAGGATACACATCCTTAGCTCCGTATACTCTGTATGCTGACAGCGATTAAATGCGCAATATGCGCCATAAATGAGCCAAATAAAAGAAAAACTTCTATAAAACAGAATATATATTTCAAAATGTTCTCCTTTTTAGTCCTCAAATAGCTCCTTATTCTCCACATCCTGTCTAGTCGCTCGAGTGGAATGGCATTTGGCGTCGTCTCTTTTCTTTCGTCCTGGCAAATCAGCGAAGGAGGAACAACAAACGATGGCAAGCATTTGATTTGCAAAATTGACTGAGCATTGGAAAAGTGCCTGTAAAATTGGAAAATGAGGGCCAACTCAAAGGGGAAAGGGCGTGCTATTCGCTTGCCTTCATATAAAGTCTTTAAATTGAATTGCTGATGTGTGCGAGTGCCAAGAGCAGCCAGCAAATGTCAGCCAGCAAATATAGCTTTTTGGCAACGATAATTGGATGCTAGAGTGGCAATGTGAAAGTTTCTATTTCTTGGCATGGATATTTTCGGGTCATCAAAACGATTATTATTATTTCCATTATGCTGGGCTATAGATATCGATTTGGACTGTTAGCCGAATTAGGGCAGAATATGAGCTAAAGTGCTTTAAAGGTTTTATTATTGTGTCTTGGCATGGCTATTTTCGGGGCATAAAAACTATCATTATGCATATTAGCACTTTCCTTGGGTAACTCTAAGGCATAATAATGTCATGAAGGAAGTAATTTTTTTTTTGGGAACGTCCCCTTTCAGGACGTGAATTTTTGTGTGGAGCCCTGCTGGTTTCCTTATCTCCACCTGACCCATTTTGGTTTTATCTTCTTGCTGTTCCCTTAGTTACCTTTTGCCACACCCCATAAAGTTATTTAGTATTCCATTCTCTCTACTCAACTCTTTTTTTATCGCCCTCGCTGGCTGCTCCCCCCTATATTATGTTTCAACGCCTTCGTATAAAGTTTTATTGCATTTCCCTTGCTCATACATATCTTGTCACAAAAAAAGGATATAAATGTAAAAAATCTGTGACGCGAAAATCTTGAAATGCAAACAGAAATCAGTACTGGAAGCTGTCGCCAAAAAAAAAGTGAAGGAACTAAAATAAGAGAAGATAAGTTGAGGGAAATTCGCTTGTAAAATGAAAACAATGAAAATTATGCAAGCGCATCAAGCAAGAGCACTTGCACAAAAAAGATAAAAATAGCACCGGGGATTCCAGAGGAACTTCGGGGGACATGGTGGAGGCAGATGTCCGCGGAGGCTCTCGCTGATGTCTGGCATCCTCCTGCCCCCCATTTCGGCTCGTCCTTCGACCAGGGTCCCTTGTTGATGTAGTTATGCAAATGCTATGCAAGGATGTCACGTCCTCCCGCTGACTTAAAGCCACGCACACATGGGACAAATACCAAGTGAGTGTGCCAGGGGAGCTGAGAGCTTTTCCCTGCTCGCACTTTATTTTGGTACACTGTGGGAAATGTATGCTTCTTAGAAACTAGCTTCTTGAAAACCTAACATTATACCACGTTCATTTTCAATAAGTGCATCTATGTAACTTAAACGGCTTAAAACCACAAATGTTGCAATAGTTTTTAAACGAGTTTTCGAACTGCAATTACCAACTTAACCTAAACTCTGTTCCCCTTTTATTTGGGGCCAAAATGAAGTCATAGAAATGTTTCGAGTGTCCCCTATTTGTACCGAATGTGTGTGCTATCTGTCTGCGGCCCCATCCGCTGTTGTCCTTTTGCATTATTGCATATTATTGTAATTTCTGTTTACTATTTGTTTTTGGCTTTGCAACAATATTTATGCCTCTCGCGCCTGTCTGGAGGCAGCAGAAATGTCATAAAAAGAGCGAAATCACAGCGGCTTGTTGCATAATGCTGAGTGGGTCAGCCGGCAGCCACGCCCCGCAGTAGTGTGCCATAAAAAAGCATAAAAATGTGCACATAAAAGTTTTTACTTTTCATTTGCATACGGATAAGGGAAGGGCCGCACCCCATTCCTTCAAATAATATTCTTTTTTATGCATGTGTGACTACTGTACATATATATCGTGATTCATATGCGCGTGTCGAGCATTTGTGTAAAAATTTAATAAAGCTACACTCGAAATTCGACACTTCCGCCTCGCCGTTCATTCAGAGTTGCCTTGGCCAGGAAATGGCATTTTGATAAGAGCGATGGCAACACTGGTTGGCCATCTACAACGAATTGGAAATAGCCCCAAAATAAAGGAGTCGAAAATGGTGCCTCCCTGCATTTTTCACCCAAAAAGGATGTATCCATGGGTCTTATCTGGCGACATCTCAGCCCCTCTACTTTTCCACCCAACCCAAACACTCGCTGTTTATGTTTGTGATTTATTATTCAAGCAAGAAATTAAATTTTCTCTTTTTACTGCAGTCCACCATCGAACTCATCCTCTTCACATCCCCTTTCCACCGACTGTCTGCCCGTTTTGGCATCGTTTGGAAGCACCCCCCTGCTTAACCCCCTGTTGCCGATGCTTTTCCGTTTAGTGCCTAAATTTATTGTGTTGTTGTAGAATTCAATTACAATACAGACAGCGGAGACCAAAAGGCGGCAGAGAGACAAAAATTGACTTAAAATGGGGAAGTTTTTTGGAGTCTTCGGGGTTGGTAGGATATGCAATGCTGCATCCTCAAATGTTTGCTTTCCATTTCCGAAGCTTCAATCAGAAATTCAGTCAGTGCCTGATTAAAGTGAAATTAAATTGAAGCTGGGCTGAAAACTGCCCATGTGCATTGCACATTGCAGGCCAATTTGTTGGAGGATCTAGTTAGCTAAGAATATGCAGAGTGCATAGCTAAATGAACTTGCTCTTTTGGATTTCTAATCATAAGCTTATGGGCTTAAAACGTGTTGGGAATCTTAAATTTTACTAAGAGGTTTGAATTATATATTTTTAAGTAGCAAAGCTTTGATTATGTTCAAGAACGTTTAATTAAATCACAAAATCAATTAAAGAAAGAAGTTGTTGAAGAGCTCCTGAAGCAGAAATTCTTGTTGGTCTTTCGGAAACTTCATATTTGTTTAGTATGCAAGATTTATAGGCGGCCAAAATTCAATTACGGCGATGACAACCTTTTTCGGACTCAGAAGCAGACTGCATCCTTGAATCCCCGGATCCTTGAATCCTGCGCTAAGCCAATGGGCTTGTGCAAATGTCTCAATATGACAATGGTGGCCCGCTGCGTTTTGTCATTACTTATGGCTGTCGCCTGCATACGTCCTTCCCCTACTCACTTTTATTGACAAAAGGATACGGATCCTGCGAGCACAACAAGCTGACTGCTTGACATCTATTTTAATGACATTCTGAGAGCTTTGGCGCATAAAATATGGCAATTTAAATTGCTGTCCGAAGAAAACTATTAAAAGTCTGGAATATTTCCGGTGCGAGGAGAGGGAAAACTGGTTAAAAGGATTCAGGACATGCTGTGCGCAAATAAGAATATTCAAAGTAACAGATTTAGGGGAGAGTAATAAAAAGCATTTTACCTTGTGGTTTGTTATTATCATTTTTCGCAGACTCTTGTGCTAAAAATAAACAAAATAGAAAGAAATGGGGGGGAAAATTGTAAATTAAAAGTGTTTCATTGGAGCAAGCAGTAAAAAAGTTGGCAACTATAACTAGGTAAACAAGTATTAAAGTACAAGGGCAAAAAGCGGTTAAAAGTGCATTGAAAATGATTTATGGCTTAACCCAGTTAAGCTCTGCATATTAACCAAGAAAAAATCCACTTGGTCACGGAGTTTATCAAAATATGGTTCGCATTTTATGATTTACAATCAATTAAGTGTGTGGGGTTGCGATGTTTACGAGGGTTTTTGCCCTCCGAACTTTGTTGACAAATAAAAGCATAAATCGCGCGTAATAATTGGTCGAAAACAGGAAAAGCCAAGCCGGCGAAGGAAAGCACATTTAATGGCTTATACACAAGCGCATTGGACATGGTCAGGAAAAGAGGACAATAAAAGCCAACAAAACAAGGAAAGTGCGCAAGGAGCACATAAAAGTCGTTAAAAGATTTACTCTATTCCTGGCGACTACACTGAAAATATTCGAACTATTTAAGAAAACTGTATATTGTGCTTAAAGCTAAACCGAACATGAACTTATATCATTTAAAAGTATTGAAGAATATGCATATTATACAATGTTGTTTTTTATGTGTGCTTTTTTTATTCAGCTTTGTAACAAATATTTTTCTCAGTACACAAGGCTCGCTTATACGTATTTATTCCACTTTTCGCACTCTTCCTTTAGCAGCGAACTTTTCTCGTATGTTTTCGATTTTTATTGAATAAGGAATTGACATTTGATTAGAGATTTCGGTTTTCTTCTGGGACCTGTTCTAGTTTTTGGGCGTGAGCGCGTGTCTGGGATTTAAGCTGGTGTCCCTAGTGTTCATCACTTCCAATTACACTCTTATTTATGGCCAAAGAAAAGTGCAGAGAAATGGTGAAGAAGCCTCGCCAAATTGATTTGTGTGTGTGTGGATTACCAAGCGTATTTCATTTCTGGTTGTTTAAGGATTTACCGAAAACTGCTTTGGGTGCAGACTTGTCACTCGATGGTGTGTTTAATTACTCAAACCCGATCAAAACACAATCGATTTCGGCTGGAGAAGCGTTTTCCAATTAAGCGTAGGAAAGACAAACCAAAAGAGTGGCCAACGAACACGTACAAACAATTTTCAAAACGTGGCGAATTATTAATTGCTGACACTGAAAGTCCCTTTTTTGCAATTCTTGAATTAATTACCCACTCCAAAGTGTAGTTACTCTATTAGTGCTGGAGTGGTGTACACATTTGGGAATGTGGCAGATTCAACACTTGAAACCATTCTGCCACATCGATGGGTAAATCCCTCACAAAAGGCTCAAGACTTCAGCAACAGACATCGACCACTTTGATGTTTTGTAATTAAGGCGAACAAATCCTTCCTCGTTCGAACTTTTCCCCTTTTCCGCACTTTTCCGCACGCCACATCCTGGCGAGACAGTCAGACAAACACACACGAAACTGTGTGTGTTAGTTAACAAATTACATACAAATTACTTTACTCCGTTTCCTCTACGGGGATGAGAGAAATTTCCATCTCCATGAACAAAGAAAGCGGAAATCGCTAAGCGTCCATAAGCAATTTTGACTAGTGATGAAACTTTCTTTGTTTCACTTTAGGTTTTAGGTTTTCAAGGAATTTTTATCATTGATAACCATAAAATTTCAATGTTTTTTAGCCCTAGAATACGTAATATCTTTGATTTTTTTTTTAAATCGCGTCACGATGCCATCTCTGATATATCGCTTTATATGCCGCCTGTCATGTCAAAATGTTTACTTTTGTTTCCCTGGGAGGAGGCTTCAACTTATTTTCCTTCTTTTCTTAGACATTTGTTTGTAATTCGCAAACAAAAACAAAAAACAATTGGCGGCTCATCATTCATCATGTCATGTGTTTTTTTGGTGGGGGTGCGGGTGGTGAAGCAAAACATATGACAGCATATTTGTCTGAGAAAACGCAACCCTTTCTTCTACGCAGACATTTAAATTGGCTAGGGAAATGCGCTCGGAAAAATCTGAAGGCACCTAAAATGCCACACAAAACTGACGTTGATGGTAATTAAAAGCGAGTGGTTTTCCTTTTAAACGGGTTGAGTGGCGTTGGCATGAAATGAAATTACTAACGGAAAATTAGCGGCATGGCACACATGGCGTATGCTTAATTTCCTGCCCTATCCTTTGTCCTTCTTTGCAATGGAAAAGCGCTGCAAATTATGCTCATCATTGTGACACAATTAGCGGGGCGGCGAAAGCGGTAAAAGCTGCACAAGCGGCAGCGACGGCAGCACCGACTTGCAACTTAACCCTAACGGATGTCGACGCGTCGTCCTGCGGTTTGGTGGCAACTCTGGACAGCTGCACTGCGAGAAAAGTTATGTAAAAGGTTGACAAAATGGAACAAAAAAGATCTTTGGTGCAGAAAACCAAAATCTATTCTACCGTTTTAGGGATATATATTTGTAATAAATATTTTGATCAGGATATTTTCATGCATGCATCAAGTGAATTTGTGTAGATCATTCGTGAATTGTGCATTATTTTAATGAAAATGGTATACTTATATGCATATTAAACTATATATGTTATTTTATTTCGCGGTGCATTAACAGGAGACAGGAGAGGCCAGGATATTCTGGGCTAGGCCACTGCGCACACACTGCAATTTTGCCATTTCTCTATGAAAGTCATTTCATGCATGCGGAATTAGTTTATGTGCGCAATTTCAAAAGAAGTGCCACAACGAGGAAAAATGGCAGTGGAAGTGGGAAATTTTCACACTAAACGCTGGATATTATGCAACATTGTTGCTGGGTGCGAGGCGGTCCAAAAAGAAACGGGAACAGGAAGTGAGAATGCCCTAAAAATATTTTGAGGTATTTCCGGCCGCCAAAGGAGGAGCCAAGAAAAACTTTCAACTAGGAATTTTTAAATTAAACATCCCCAGCCAATCTACTTTTTTCGTTTTCAGCCAGATTAATTCCAGCCAACTTCTCCTTGACCAAACCGCTATCAAATTGATTTGTCACAAATGCTCCATCAGAGAAGATTTACAACCTCAATTTGTCGTCTATTTACTGGCCAGTCTTAGCTAGACTCCTTGGACGTATCGGAAATTGCACAATATAAGTGAAATGAATTGATTCCTAATGCGATTCCCCTGCCACAGACCCAGATTTCCAGGTTAAAGGAAGAGGTGAAAAGTTACAAGGTATAAAGTGCGGTAGCAACAGGAATCCAATTTATTTTGCAGTTGCAGACTGGCTCATCCACTCCTTCGTTCCAGCACATATTAATAAGCAATAAAATGGATTTTTCCTTTCACTTCGACGGAGAGATAAAGATTTATCAATAATATTTTTACAACTGCTCGTAAAAAAATTAAAGACCCTGAAAAAATGGAGCTGCTTGAGTAATTGAAAACGCTGGCTGCCTCTCGTTTTAATTAACTTCAAAAGGTTTGCTCAATAAACAAGCCCTAGAGGCATATACTCCAGCATGTAGTGAAAAACCATCTTTACCAGCAGTTTTCATCCCAGTTATTGGCCACTGATTTGCGGCAACTGGAAACAAAAGGCGGTAGGCGTGGCCACTGCAATATATCATCCGTTGTTTGTCATTCCGGGCAGACGGAAAAAAGACGTGAAAAAAAAAAATGATACGCAAGTGCACAATGCTTCCATCGGATTCTCGTCACATATGAAAACGCCGCATTGTTTACCCACTGCGAATCGCTCAGAAAATAGCGAAAATAGAGTAGAATCGCTGGCCAATCCCACAGCGAGCTATTGACGGATATGGTATTGAGTTCCCCACAAAGGACACACGTAGTCGATTTTAGCCTACAAAGCGGGAAAATTCAAAAGAGATGTTGGTCAGCAAATAGGCCTTGGCTTCTATTGGGAATCACTCTGGTGATTGAAGTACTGCTGATTGATCTACGGGACCCACAGGAACAGGAGAGCTAGGAAATACCCTTTAATCCGTTCAATACAATGGGAATGTACCAATTAACTAGCACCACTTTCGAATGTAAAGTAGCACATATATTTTTCTAATTATTTCTTAGACTAAATGCACAAGCCATTAAACCACAGAAATCAATATCAACAGATAGCAGGTTATAAATGAAACAACACATATATCAACTAAGGCAATACACTCGCATATGCAAATGTAACCACACATTTAATGATAAAGTAATTGACGACTGATTGATACGTTATTGCTGGAATCAAGAAACTCGGCTTGATTACCCCATTGCAAATGGTCCAACAGCCGTCTATTGCCTATTGCCTATTCCTATTCCAGAACTCAATCATCCAGCGAATGGCTCCACCTCCAAGCTCCTCTGCAAACCAACATGCCCCGTTCCTTTGGCCTTTGCTCTGCGAAATGTAAACGACAATCAACTTGAAATGCAGCCCTCCAAAAACGTAATGGGAATAATTTGCAGCAATTTCATTCGAAAAGCCTCTCACACAGGATACAAAACGCACACACTCGCACACGCACACACACACACACATGCGCGCAGTCACGTAAATGACAATCAAAATTTGAAGTAGTCTGTGTGGCAGGAAGGAAACGGAAACGCCGCCTGACCAAATGAAATGCGTAGGCCATAGGTAAGCCAGTGGGGATAAGCCGACGAAGGCTATAGCCGTGGCCATATGACTATGCGGGCATGGCGATGCCCCAAGGCTGTCACATTCAACACACATAACGAACGTTATCTGCTCCGAAGGCCAGGACAGGCATATGACGAGCGGGGGTCAGGAGGCGGGGAATGGGTCCGGCGACCAGGAGGATGTACTGGAAAATCTAGTCAGTCATTTCAGCAGAACAACACTTTCAATAATCACAAATTCTAGCAATATTTTACTTAGTAGTAGCGAACTCTAATGAAAAAACCGTAATGAGTTTGACTGAAGGATCTATCAAAGTTGGTTGATTATTATTATTAATTATT